GATGACGTCAAAGAAACTAGTCAGACTACATTTGCAAGTTTTGCAACTCTCATCGCTTAAATTCCCCATACCTGAATACAAAATAAACAGTAAACAACGATTACCTTTTACATACCATATGTAAAACAGAGTTTTCATCCTTTCTAGAAACTCACTTCCTGAACTTTTGAGCGCAAATGTAATGTATTAAAAATGTATATCATATTCACAGCAGTTAATACCATTAATATATCGCGGGCGCAATACAAAACAAAACACGAGAATTTTAAAATGTTTTGATTTGCAAATAAATAAATAATATTTGATGTCATAAAAAATTTTAAATTTAACTCAACACAAACTGGTAAGTTCATGACATGTATAATTTACTTATATGTTGTTATATTGCAATTATGTACCCTACTCCTTTGAAAATTGTTTGCAATTGCATATGATGTGAACATGTGGTCATGTATTATAGTTGTGTCATGGATTTAATAATACCCCAATGGCTTTGAAATAGACAATGGATGGAAAAAGTCATGAATATTGAACTTATTTACCCTTTAAACACTTGATCGTCATGCGCATACAGTGTATTGTTTGTTTCCAGAACCCCCTCAAGCAGACTTCAACTTTTTTGTTAAATTGTATATTTTGCTTCATACACTGCATGTGTGTGTGTTTGTGGGAACACTCATGTTTGGATGCTTGGCGTAGGTTAATGGTAATTTCATTGGAGTCATCAGGGATATAGTTGTATATTCCTGAAATTACCCTCTAAACACCTAAAACAGCTTTCCCTAAAATTTTAATTGTTTTCTTACATTGCCCTATATCGCTCAAACTCGCATTGCTTAAATTGCAGATTTTGCTTAAATCACCTAAATTTGCTTAATTAAACTTGCATTATCTTGTTATCGCCCCAGAGTAGGGCCTACTGTTGCCATTGCTTTTTAATCCCCAATACTTCAGTGAGTCATGCTTTGGAAATGACAATAATTTTTTATTACCCAACCCTTGAGTTGTTTTGCTTTTCATTTACCCAACCTTTTACTTACTCAAAATTTAGTTTACCCAACCCTTTTCTCTTCGGTGCCACCCCCCACCATAAATAATGACCGGTCCCTTAGGTACGTAATATCAGACCGTTTTCCACTCCAACCGTATCGTAGCATTTCCTTTTGTGTCAAAGACATTAGTTCCACCTTGCTGCTCAGGAAACAAAGAAATACGTTTCGCTACTGTTGAAGTCACTTCACTTAAGTTAACAGCAGCGCAATTACGCGGCAATTTTTGCCCAACCAGAAAATTTTAATTATCGCACCCTGCAGGCAACGTAACATAGCATGCATTGCTATTGCGAAGTTCAGCTTTCACTTCGATTTTACATTAGTAAGATTTCAACAAACTCCGAAACTCTCAAAGTAAACGTTCTCGTGTGTTTTGTGTCGTTCTACATAGCACGATCGCTTCATCACGTCCTGGAATGGAAAAATCATGGTATTAAATGGAAACACCACGTGATTCCACAAAATCAGATCTTGAATTATATCACAAAGAGAGTAAACGAAGCATCGGTATGTTGGGCCATTCTATTTAATACCCCCCCCCCCCCTGTGGATGAGGTCAGTAAATTTTAACCCCTAAGAAAAAAAGATCAAAGTGCCGACACAAAATCCCCTTCAAATCGCAGAGATCAAAAGATGCCGACAGGCTTAACCCCTCAGAAACGACTTTGGGGTTACCCTTTAGAAAAATTCATCACTTAAACGAAGGCCGACTATTAAAAAAGTTCGTAATTTTAAACACTTTTCTGAAACTGAATTTATATCCGACCTAACCAATATTCCTTGGCAAACTGTTTTCACAACAAGTGATCCAAACTTGAGTTGGAATAAGTGGAAGGAACTATTTATCGGAACACTAGATAAACATGCTCCTGTTAGACATATAAGATCAGGGAAACACACCACTCCGTGGATGACAGCGGAAATAAGGTCAGCTATGAGAAGAAGAGACTACCATAAGAAAAAGGCCATAAAATTGAAATCTGATTCACATTGGCATAATTATAAGAGTCTGCGTAATAAAGTTAATAAACTAATCCGTGTGACAAAATCTACTTTCTATATCAACAAAATATCTGAATGTGCAGAAACTAAGGATTTAAAAAAATGCTGGTCTACAATAAATTCCCTGCTAGGGAAACAAAATAAATCCAATTATATTAGTGAGCTCAAAGTTGGTGAAAATGTCATCACAGACCCTAATCTCATTGCGGAGCATTTTAATACACACTTCATCAACATTGGAGTGTACCCTGATAAAAATCCCTGATGACACAAACATCCATTCCCAAACTAATAATAAATTTAATTTTTCTCTCATTAAGGTTGATAGTGTCCTCTGTAATTTGAAACACCTTAAAGCAAATAAATCCACTGGCCTAGATGCCATCCCAGCGAAAATACTAAAACTAGCTGCCCATATTATTGCCCCTTCCTTAACGTATATTTTTAATTTATCTCTTCAAAACGGTATTTATGTTAACGATTGGAAACGAGCTCGAGTAATTCCTATCTTCAAATCTGAAGATAAAAGTAAATGTGAAAATTATAGACCCATTTCTATTTTGTCAATTGTAAGTAAAGTCTTTGAAAAAGAAGTGTTTAGGCAAGTGTATACGTACGTGAATGAAAGTAATCTTCTCTCAAAGTATCAATCTGGCTTTCGGCCACAACCCTCAACCTTATCAGCCCTCATTAAAATATGTGACGAAATCTTAAATAACATGGACGAGGGGAAAATAAACTGTATAGTATTTTTAGACATACGGAAAGCTTTTGATTCAATAAATCACAATATTTTATTAAGTAAAATAAGATCCAACTTTGGCATTAGCGGTAATGAATTACTCTGGTTTGAATCATACCTAACGAATAGGGAACAACAATGCGTAGCTAATGGGATACTATCCTCCGTTGGAAAATTAAAATGTGGGGTCCCCCAGGGGTCGATCCTGGGGCCGTTGTTATTTTTGCTCTACATCAATGACCTACCACAATGTCTCCAAAAAACCACGCCGGGTCTTTATGCTGATGACACGGAAATTTACGCGTCATCACACAATGTAAATGATCTTATTGACAACATAAATTATGACCTAAATATTGTTACGCAATGGATGGAGAATAATAAGCTACAAATTCATCCTAAGAAATCTAAATGTATGTTTATTGCATCCCTTATAAAATTAAGAATATACCTCAAGGAATACCAATATTAATTAATAATGTTCCTGTCCCAAGATTAAATTGCTACAAATGCCTCGGTGTCACTTTAGACGAAAAATTGAACTGGGAACATCATATTGATATGATTATTAAGAAAGTCAATGCAGGCATTGCAGTAATTAAACGTATGAAAACCTGTGTTACTCAGGAATTCTTACAAACAGTTTACAACGCCTTAATACAACCCTATTTTGACTACTGCTGTCAATTGTGGGATACCTGTGGAATCGTCCTAAAGGAAAAACTACAAAAATGTCAATCCCGAGCTGCTAGAGTAATAACAGGAGCATCTTATGATATTAGGTCGGCCGATGTTCTTGCAACTTTGGGGTGGCAAACTCTCGACAATAGGCGAAAATACTTGAAATCCATTTTTATTTACAAAATCTTAAATAATGAAACTGCTCCAAACCTGAAAGAAAATTTTTTGAAAATAAGTGATTGTCCAATTACACTGCACACCAATTAAGAAATTCTCAAACAGATCTGGTACTTCCATTCCCAAAATCACAATTTAAGAAAAAGACCTTCAGTTATAGTGGAGCAACTCTTTGGAATAACTTATCAATTACTGCTAAACAATCCAATTCTTTGAGTTGTTTCAAAAGATTAATGAAACTACATTTTCGAAAACCATAAGTATGTAAATAGTTTTGTATGTTTGTTATTTATTTATGTTTGTTAATTTGTCAAAATAATCATGTAAATAGTTTGTATTATGTATATGTATTAGTCTTATTCTTACACGTCCCCTATGGAAACCATCAAAAGATGTTAGGGCTAACGTGTTTAAATAAATTTTTATGTATGTATGTATGTATGTATGGGGAGGGGGGGGGGGTGGACATTAAATGGAATGGCCCGTTAGTAAGATATACACTTATATAAACATTACATAACACTTGTCCAGATCTGGAAAAAATATTGGATCTGACATGTCTAGTTACAATTGTTCTTGTTTACAAAGAAAACATTTTCGTTTCTAGGGTATTTATCAAATGTTTAGTATCTTGGTTGATATAGTTGTTTATGGTAAGAAAAAACTGACACTGTTAGCTAATATTGGACTATGTACTTTGTTTTTCTGCACTTTTTCTCTGTGATTATCCAATATCTAAATAGTGTTTGGGCGATTTTAGTGAACGATGGACAAGCGATATATATTGAAGAATTTCCTTCCAAGTTACTTGACCAGTTAGAAAGTAAGGAACATTATCCCTGATTGCAGTAGTATTTAGCGTGTTAGTGTGTTTAGTACTTAGTTAATTAATTAATCACTTAGTTAATTTGTTAATTAGTTAATTAATTAATTAGTTTGTTAGTTACTTTGTTAGTTACGCAAGTACGTAAATGAGGTAATTATTTATTAACTAACATATTTAATTTCCAGGTTATTCGGGCTTGCCAAGCGGACCGACGATTGTAGTAAACATGGAATATGGCAAAACTTTCTCTGGGGCAGGCGTGACACATTTCATGAAGACCGCGCAACATTAGATCCATCACGAGCACATATTTCGAATTTTCTCCACCCGGTCTTGTATTTCTACCGACAGCCTGTCAAAGGTAACCACTCAATAATTTATGATTATAGTAATGCTCACAACATAGTGGCCGTCTTGACTTCAGCACAATTCATTCCTTGAAATGTGATTTCGTGCAAAGCTCATTAATACACCTTACCGATTATTCTTTTTTACCCAATGGCCTCGTTTCCATGTTAACTTATTTTAGCATGTCAGGGGCAGATAAAGATTATATTCCCATGTTTTCCTGGACGAACTTGTTTCTTGTTGTTCTGAAGCCGCGTTCACACCAGCGGCCCAGGCCTGGCCTGGACCTGGCCTTGACCTGGCCTGGGCCAATTGTGACGCATTCACACTGGCTTGACGCCCAACTCCAGGCCAAAGCAATCAGGCGTCAATATAAACGTCCTTGTGTTCCACTAAAGTATTTAATTTCGCGCTTTGAATGTTTTTCCCTCCAATTGTATGACAATCATCTGACCAGTTTTTATCGTGGGCAGATATTGCGATGGTAACGGGGCCTCGCCCAGGCCAGGCTCAGGAAAAACCCGTTCACACCAGTGATGATCGAGGCCAGGTCCAGGCCACCTACATTTGCTGGCCTGGATTTCTTGACTTAGGCCAGGCCTAGGCCAGGCTCAGGCCAGGTAAAACTCGTTCACACCTAGACCCAGGCCAGGTCCAGGCCAGGCCTGGGCCGCTAGTGTGAACGCGGCTTTAGGCTCAATAACAAAGTAATTTTCAACCCTACTAAGCACAAAACATGAGTTAGTATTTGACATGAAAACGAGGCCATTGGGTAAAAGACAATAATCGGTAAGGTCTATTGTTCGTGAATTTCACAATAAATTAGTAATGTGTAATTTTAATGTGTTTTCTTTATTTTTCGTGCAGCCTTAGGAGCGGATTATTCACTTCCTAAACCTGACCGCATGCATCATATTGTTGAAGATTTTCTAACAAAATGGTAAGGATCCTGTTGAACTTCGTTCTCATTCAACGAACAAGCGGTCGAGAATAAAACTGATCGATGTATTTAGTGGTTTCAAAACATTTCATAGTAGACGTTGCAATGGGAAGTGTAGGAGTTGCAACCGAAGGCCGAACTTCGAAACTCGGAGGATCTAACGGGCCTGTGACGGCATGCTTCCAGAAAATTTTGAACTTCTAGGGCTATACGAGATGCATTTTCCAGCATTTATTCTTGAGACACAAAAAAAATCATATTTTAAATGTCTAAAACACTGTTAAATTTATGTTCATATAATGCCTATAACAACAACGTTTACATACAGTAAACGTTTACGTACAGTAAAACGGCTTATTTTGAAACCACTGGTATTTTACATTCTTTATTTCTGCATTTATTTACGTGGTGTTTCCACAAACAAAACTATTATGTTTTATCGCCATACAAAGAACTTATTCTTTATTTCGTTTCTATCAGGACTGGTCCATTTAGTCATCTTGTACCTCTCAGAAGATTCTTGGAACAAATCCAGGGAGAAGATCTGAGAAATTTCTTCTCAAAAAGTTGTTTTAAGGTAAGTGCATTTTCACACCATTGTAAAATTGTATGCTTGACGTTTCTCTAACTCATGTTGACAGGGTGGGTTGAGATTATCCCCCTAACTGACCCTTCCAGGGTGGGTTGGGACTATCCCCCTAACTGACCCTTCCACCGTAGCTATTACCAAACATAAGCAGGACTACTTCAGGAATTCGTTTTTTGTAAGGTCAGCAAATCTGTGGAACAGCCTCTCATCGCAACTTAAGAGTTGTACATCAATATCTGTATTCAGTTCCAGACTACGTAAAATGTATAAAGAACGACTGCTATTTTACAGCCCTCCTGGCTGTTCTTAACTTTATAATATCCTATGGCATGGTTTCCTATTCAATTGTAATGTGTTTGGTAGATGTATAGTCATTTATTAGGAGTTAGGTGTCAATTGGGACGCAAGTCCTGTTCCTCTCTCCAGTCACACCTATGTTGTATTTTTGCATGTTCTATACTAGTGTCAGTAATCTTGTTTGTATGTAAATGAATTGTGACAAATCAAATTAAATTAAATTAAATTAGACATGAGAGACTTTCAAGCTGGGAGAGCCGGGTTCAATCCTTGGTTGGACCTCTACTCAAGGTCTTAAAATAATGATATTTTTGTTGTGTTTTGATGTTATGTACTCAGGTGAATATAAAGGATGTTACTCTGAGTGTATATCCACACCGGGCAGGCTGAAAAGTTAGCCTGACCACGATGGGAATCGAACCCGCGACCTTTGGGATACTAGTCCAATGCTCTGCCAACTGAGCTACGTCGTCAAGTGTGTTCGAGTGTGGGGTATTTCAGAACTAAGTCTAGTACCTTCGATACCAAAATGAATGTGTTCTATTCGATACCAATGTAAAAGTGCTACATTTACATTGACATCAGTAAATGGTTAGACTTCTCGGATAAGGACGTTAAAATCGTAGGTACCTCGGATCTCATATTAATTAGGCAATATAGCATGTTGGGAAATCCGCCCACCAATGATTGAGAAACTCGATGAACGTCCTTTTATGAAGTCAACGGTCGTCACGTTGAATTTTGTTTTGCTGTTATCATTTTAGCTCGCAATGACCATCGCAAATCTACCCAGAAGATGTAAGGAGTATTTTATGCAAGGTATGTTGTGTAAATACTGCATGTATTACCTAAATGAATATCTGGGCATACTGATCGAATGCTTTGCTGAAGTCAACAGCTGCTTTCCAGTTGTCATGCTTAATTTCTTTTTTATTCAGGCTCGTCCCTTCCTGGTGAATCTAGTATTCTCGAGATCGCTCAGTCGCAAAACTTGCTGGCATGAGAGAAAAGCATAGCATCGTGAGTGATGGTATATAGTGAACACGTGCCAGGTCAGAACATGTGACGTGTGTAGTTGTGGTTGCTAAGCAAGGCTGCCACTCGTAGGGGGATTCCCCTACAGTAGGGGATTATGACATCTTGTAGGGAGTGGGGAATACCTACGGGGAGAAAGGTAATCTGTAGGGGAGCGTAGGGGATTTCTTCACGGTTTGAATTGAAAAAAAATTGTGTGTCTGTTTATGGTATTATGAATTACAAAATGGAACTAGCACTATTGAACTGCAGGATAATCAGGATTTTTCATGGAAACAACTAGAAATTTAGATTTGAATTGAATGTGGAAGCACTGGAATATGTGATATAATAACCTATGATAATAACTCTCCACGACAGTGCTTCCATTTTCAAGGAAATTTCCTTTTCTAAGGAAATTCTAGTGTCGAAAAGGAAAATCTAAGGAAGAGAAAAAATCTAAGGAAATCTAAGGATTTTTTCCCAACAATTTAAATATTCATCCAAGTGCATTAGTGCAGAAGAATGTTTCGCTATTTCTTGAATTTTTGAGTGAATTTGAGTGAATTTTTGAGTAATAGTTTGTGGTTTTGTTTTGTTAAGGTTTGCGAAATTTAATAAATAGAATATATTATCGTTATATTAAAAACCAGAAACATCTGTATCGTAGATGATAATTCAGGATTACAGGGGAAATGCGATATTTGTAGGGGAACGTAGGGGAATGTAGGGGAAAATTACACATTGACTTGTAGGGAAAAGTAGGGGATTTTAGTACTAGCCTTAGGTGAAAATAGGCTATTGAGAGTGGCAGCTCTGTTGCTAAGCAACCTGAGTAGAAAGTTTATACTTCAGTGTGATCACGGTTAATCGAAGGACCGTGGTGTGATAGGTTGATAACATATTGCGAAAGACGAACCATGTAGGAACAGAATTTCATAACGAAATAATTTTGTTATTAGTATAGTGTACACACGTAAAAATCTCACAACTTGTCAACAAGATGTGTTAGCAACAGGCTTGTAGCAAGCTTGTCAACAAGTTGTGACAATGCTGTTATTTTATCAAGTTGCTACAAGGTTGTCACTCATAACTTGTTGACAAATTGGTGAATTGCAGGACGATAAGTTGGAACAACTTGTAACAAGTCTGTCGAACTCAACAACCTTGTAACAATGCAACTTGTCAACAAGCCGTTGGCAACTTGTCAACAAGCTGGGAACAAGCAGTGCGAACACATCCTGTTGACAAGTTGTTGAAACAGCATTGCTACAAGTCTGCTGCAGGTTTGTTACAACTTGTGTGTTTTTACGTGTGTAGTTCAATAGATTCATTGTATATGGACAGAAGTATATTTCAAGCAAATCATTTTTGGTGGCCATTTTATTGAATATATTTTTAAATATAAAAATAAAATGTTGTTATGTCAACATAAAAATATTTCTCAAATTTAAATTACATAAAAACTCGCTACTATTCCTAATGAAGGGCTAAGTAGAACAGGGCATAAAAATAAGATCGCTGCAGTGCATACATAAATACAGTATGTAGACATGTAGTCATAATACTTATCCAGAGAGCTGGCTGTCAATTTTCATTCATATCATTTTCAAATTTGAAATCAGTAAAACGTTTCAGTTAATGAGGCAATTAATTAAGTTTCTTTGAAGATTTACATGTATACGCGCTTTGCGGCAAATTATTTTGTTACTTTTCTTAAGGTACCTGTACACTGAACTTGAACTAAACTAACTTCTGGATAGCTCTATCAGTTCTAAACTGTTCTTCCTAGAGGTCCAGTAAGAGTCATCTCTTATTGATCCAGTGTTACTACAGGAGGAAACCTAAACTAAACTAACTTTATTTATACTGGATAGCTCTATCAGTTCTAAACTGTTCTCACCAGAGGTCCAGTAAGGATCATCTCTTACTCTATAGGAAGTCACTTTTTGAAATTCTGCCCATAAAGCCACACAACATATCGCGTGTCAGATCTATGAAATGATGGCCCGTGAAATGTACTTTGTGGTAAATTGTAACCGTTCTTGATAGAGCCTGCGAGCATCCTTCCCCCACCCCATCTTAACACCCCCAAAACTTAACACCCCCCAAAACTTAACCACACACACACACACACACACACACACACACACACACACACACACACACACACACACACACACACAAAGTGCTGGCTCGTCCTCCCAACTCTCTAGTTCGTTAGTCCAATACAATATTTCTTTTAATTTGTCTTTGCTATTTTCATCCACATTCACCCCGGGAAGTCTTATTTTAAAGCAAATAACACTTCAATATAAGTATTAACAGGAAACTGTAGAATATGCATGAAGAGAATATCATCATCACTCGTTAATTGCGTCCTGAAAAAGATATCGGCCTCGCTAAAATTACAACTAATTGAAACTCATAACTTTCGCCCCGTTAAATCACCCGACGCCTGTAAATTTACTTCGAAAAAGGGCAGAAATACATAATTTTTTTTTTTCACTGCACAATTTGCTTAAAAACGTTTTTATTTAATCCCCCTTCTCAGCATTTATATCACTTTGTTTACGCCAATGAAACAAAACTGTGTAAATTTAATCTATTTTGGACAGCTGGTTTGCTGCAAATGAAATTAAAGTGTCAGAATCCAAAGAATATTTTGTCATTTACCGTCATACAATGATATCTCAAACAAAGTGTACATTTCAAATTACGATTTCGGAATCTTATCTCAATATAAGTACTAATTTCCCACCAGCAACGCACTTTAATTAAGCAACATTTCGAGGGCTAAAATATTAGGAAGGTATTAATTCTTTTCTTTCGGTTATTCAAAATATTTCAATTCACTCTTGAGACATATATTTTGGGACATTAATTTTTAAACGAGTAATCCGATTTTTGTCGACGTGAATTTTATTAATATAACTTTAAAACGACGACAAAGGTAAGTTTATTTTACTTTTCTTTATTTTCTGAGCATCAGATTTATAAAATTTCGTGTTGTGGGTAACAATTAGCACATCTCTTTTCCTTTATCTTCTATAAAGGTTTTCAGGACGTTCAAACAATCACTACAAGGCTTCGTGGAACAGTTTCAACGTCAAGCAAATACTGTAAGTATATATTGAGATAAACTAAACTAGCTTTATTTATATTGGGTAACTCTATCAGTTCTAAACTGACCTTCCTAGAGGTCCAGTAAGGATAATCTCTTATTGATCCAGTGTTACTACAGGAGGAAACTTAAATTAAACTAACTTTATTTATACTGGATATTTCTATCAGTTCTAAACTGTTCTTCCTAGAGGTCCATGCAGTAAGGATCATCTCTTAATGATCCAGTGTTACTACAGGAGGAAACCTAAACTAAACTAACTTTATTTATACTGAAAAGTTCTATCAGTTCTAAACTGTCTTCCCTAAAGGTCCAGTAAGGATCATCTCCTATTGATCCAGTGTTACTACGGGAGGAAACCTAAACTAAACTAACTTTATTTATACTGGATAGCTCTGTCAGACTCAGTTCTAAACTGTTCTTGCTAGAGGTCCAGTAAGGATCATCTCTTATTGATCCAGTGTTACTACAGGAGGAAACCTAAACTAAACTAACTTTATTTATACTGGATAGCTCTATCAGTTCTAAACTGTTCTTCCTAGAGGTCCAGTAAAGATCGTATCTTATTGATCCAGTGTTACTACAGGAGGAAACCTAAACTAAACTAACTTTATTTATACTGGATAGCTCTATCAGTTCTAAACTGTTCTTCCTAGAGGTTCAGTAAGGATCATCTCTTATTGATCCAGTGTTACTACAGGAGGAAACCTAAACTAAACTAACTTTATTTATATACTGGGTAGCTCTATCAGTTCTAAACTGTTCTCCCTAGAGGTCCAGTAAGGATCATCTCTTATTGATCCAGTGTTACTACAGGAGGAAACCTAAACTAAATTAACTTTATTTATACTGGATAGCTCTATCGATTCTAAACTGTTCTCCCTAGAAGTTCAGTAAGAATTATCCCATAATGGTCCAATGTTACCCCATGAGGAAACTAAACTAAACCGCTAACTTTATTGATACTGGACAGCTCTATCAGTTCTAAATTGCTCTACCAAGACGTCCAATAAAGTCATCTCGTTTTCATGCAGTTGAATACAATCAAATCGGAGATATTCATTCCACATGCGACTAAAGGCTAGTTTCCACTCAGGAAAATTATCCGTGGATTGGAACGGACAAGAAAATTATTCTTTGTCTTGTGAACTCTGGGGTGGAACTAATGACTTTAACAGAAAAAAACTTTCTTGTCCGTTCCAATGCACGGATAGTTTTCCTGAGTGGAAATTAGCT